CCGCCGCGCCCGGGCCCCCGCCCCTGAGAGCGCCGCGCACCCGGACCCTCCTCCGCCGGCCCCGACCGCCCTGATCGCCCAGACCCTGAGCCGGGGCTTTGGCCGCGCCGCGGGGTGCTCTCTCCCGGCTCAAGTTGCAGGGGGCGGGCCCGGCCGGAGGTGGAGTCTCCAGCCAATTGAAGCTTCGGCTATAAATCCAGCTCCCGCAAGGCCGAAGCCCAGATGCCGCGCCGGGCCACCCCGCCGTCGTTGGCCGGAGTCGAAGGGGTGGCTCAGGGTGGTCAGGGGGCTGCTACCACCATGCTCCGCTCCCTGCTGCTTCACTCGCTGCGGCTGTGCGCCCAGACGGCCTCGTGCCTCGTGCTCTTCCCGCGCTTCCTCGGCACGGCCTTCATGCTCTGGCTCCTCGATTTCCTGTGCATCCGCAAGCATTTCCTGGGCCGCCGCCGCCGGGGTCAGCCCGAGCCCGAGGTGGAGCTCAACAGCGACGGCGAAGAGGTGCCCCTCGACGACCCCCCCATCTGCGTGTCCGACGACAACCGCCTCTGCACCCTGGCGTCGCTCAAGGCGGTGTGGCACGGCCAGAAGTTGGATTTCTTCAAGCAGGCGCACCAGGGCGGCCCAGCACCCAACTCCGAGGTGGTCCTGCCCGACGGCTTCCAGAGCCAGCGCATCCTCGACTACGCGCGTGGGAACCGCCCGCTGGTACTCAATTTCGGCAGCTGCACCTGACCGCCGTTCATGGCGCGCATGAGCGCCTTCCAGCGCCTGGTCACCAAGTACCGGCGCGATGTGGACTTCCTCATCATCTACATCGAGGAAGCGCACCCCTCCGATGGCTGGGTCACCACAGACTCCCCCTACAGCATCCCCCAGCACCGAAGCCTGGAAGACCGCGTCAGCGCCGCACGGGTACTGCAGCAAGGCGCGCCCGGATGCGCGCTGGTTCTCGACACCATGACCAACTCAAGCAGCTCGGCCTACGGCGCCTACTTTGAGCGTCTCTACGTCATCCAGAATGGCACCATTATGTACCAGGGTGGCCGTGGCCCCGACGGCTACCAGGTAGCAGAGTTGCGCACCTGGCTAGAGCGCTACGACGAGCAGCTACACAGTGCTCCGGCTCGTCGGGTGTAAACAACTAAGGACAGTTGCCTGAACTTGGCGGGTTGCACCTTCCGCCTTCGAGGCCCACGTGCAAGCACTCAAACGAAGTCAAGCTTGGCGAGGCCCCAATGGGATGTCTGCGCTGAGCCAAGCGCCGCAGGTTTGAGTCTGCGCCCTCAGCCAAGCCACCTAAAGACTCTCCCTGGGGACTCTGCTTCTGGAACTGTCTCTGCCTGTACCTGCCTGGCTTGCTCTAACTCCACTTCGGAGCGTGATGCGGCTCTCACCCTTGCGTGTGTGCCCCAGGACTTGTCCGCACAGAGGCCTCTGCCGCGCTTTCTTGCACCCGCTCCCCAGAGAAAAGAGTCAGAGCGCCTTCAGTCAGAAGCGGTGGCCCTGCGCCTCTCCAGCGCAAAGAGAACTTGGCGGCTCCCGCGCGCCCTGAGCGCAGCTGGGCTCCAGTGGCGCGTGGAGTGCGCACTAGTTTCCTGGCACCCACACCTGTCGCACGCGAGGAGGGGGTGCCCTACTGCTTTTGTGTCTATTTCTTGTCCCTTCGTTGGGGGAGGGTAAGGGAGCGGGGTAGGGAGGGTGGGCAGGGTAGTTTTCCCCTCTTGTTTCCGGTGCGCTGGAGCCCCACAGCTGATGAAGAACTGTCTCTAATTGGTCTTGACCACGAGCTGGTTCCGAACTGCAGGGGACTCGCAGCAGTCCTAAACCGAGAAGGGAAAAGTGCTCTGGGTTTCCGAGAGGAAATCACCTTAAAGGGGGTGGGAGAGGGAGGGGGAGGCTGCTTCGGGACTTCAGAGTCCGGAATGGCTTGAGAGGCACTGGCTAGGTTCGCAGCGCCCCAGGGCGAGAGAAGAGGCTGGGACTCCTAGGGAGTGGGTTTGGGTGGTGGGAGTCAGGGGGAAGGGAGATGGGGGGAGAGCCTGGGGACCCCGAGTGAGGGGCCTCCTGGGCAGAGCTGCTGATTGCGGGGCCGGGAGGTTGGAGGCTCCTGGTTTGAAGGCTATTTGGTCAGTGTTTTGCTGGAAATACTCCCTGTATATAAACTTCTTTTACGCTACAATAATAAAGGCTTTAAGTAAACTGCTTCCTGGTTGCCTTTGGTCCCTTGATTTTTCTCTTCCCTCTGAATAGCGGCAGGAATTAAACACAAATCTCTGCCTCGCGTCCCCATAGTGACCCTGCTAGGGGGAGGGAAGGAGCTTTGCCTGCAGAGATGCTGGAGGAGAAAGGAGAGGGAGAGGGCTTCGCTGTGCCCCCGCGCGCGTGAACACACACGCACACACCAGGCGGGGGCGGGGGCGGGGGCGGGGGAAGAGCGGAGCCCGGCGGAGTCCTGGGGAGGGAAGAGGGAGGAGGAAGAGGAGCGGGAGGAGAGGGTCCTTCTGTGCACCGCGCGCGCGCGCACAGCGGTAGCCGGCCCGGCGCCGCCCGTCTAACTTCCAGCTGCCGGGGCGACGGGGGTGGGGGGGCGCCGGGCGGGGGCTCTGCCCCTGCCCTCGGCGCGCACCTGCGAAGTCGTCTCTACCCCCAGCCTCGCCCAGTTCCGCTGGAGGCGCGCGCGGAGGCTGAAGGGAGGGAGCTAGGAAGGGGGACCAGGGAGTGGGGCAGGCGGTGGAGCTGGGGAGGGCGCAAAGGCGCCTGCCGCTCGGGGCAGCCCTCCTCCCTCCCCTCCTCCGCGTCCCCAGGTTCAAGCCCCACCTCTCCGCCGCCCCCAGCAGCTCCAGGTTGGGAGGCGGAGCAAGGGGTGGGGGGACGATCCCCGAGCGCGGGGAAGAGGGCGTTGGGAGCAGACTCGCGCCATGCAACAGTGGCCAGGAGTCTCCGCACAGTCCCAGCCCTCACCTCCACCCTGGCCCCCCGGGGCAAGGGTCACTGCAGGAGCGCCGGAGTCTTGCCTGTCCTCTACTAGTGACACCTGGAACAGAAAAGTGGTGGGGGGAGCGGGGGCAAGGGTGCCGAGGCCCGAGTCCGCAGATCTGAGAGGGGGGCGGGGGGCGCCGAGCATCCTCCGCCCGCGTCCTCGGTCAGCGCCGGGAGCCCGGGACTGTCCCGGGGGCAGGAGGAGGGCGGGTGTCCGTGCGCCTGGGGTAGACGCCAGCGCAAGGGGGCTCCGCGTGGTCGAAGGGCGCGGCGGCGGGGGAAGCAGGGGCCCTGCTCCGCCAGCGCCCCCAGCTCCGCACCAGCCCCCGCGCTGCTGCTCCGAGAAAACTTTTGTCACTGACACCCCGAGCTTGGGTTTTGTTTTTGTTTGCTGGTTTTATTTTGTTTTTTTCCTTTAAACTTACACTGAAAATAACTTTTAAGGAAAAAGAAAATGGCACAGATGATCTTTCTCCAGCTCCCCCATCCCATCCGCGCTGCCTCTTCTCGAAACCCCGTTCGGGGTAGGCTGGCCAGAGCTCCCGGTCTCCTGGCGCGCGCGGCTGGCCCGGCAGGGGCTCCGCCAGCGAAGCGTGCGGCGGACTGGCCCGAGCCGCCTCCCGCCCTGGCCAAGCGGGCGCCTCGGGCCCCTAGGGCTCCCCGGCCCGACGCTCTGAGCGCGCGCCGCGGCGCCCGGACCTTCGGCGCCGGGACTGGGCTCCAGCGCTCCCCGCTCTGGCCGCCTCCCCCAGGCGAGTCGAGCATCCCTCCTTTTCTTTTCTCTCCCCTCTCCCTCCCTTCCTACCCTTCATCTTTCGGTTTCTTTCTCCCTCCTTTTCACCTCTTCCCTAGTTCTTCCTTTCTTTTCCTCTTTCTCTTTCACTTCTTCCCTTTAATGTCTCCCCTTCTTATAAAAGTAATGCGCGCTCTTTGCAAAAAACACGGGAAGATCCGGCGAAGAAAATACGTAAAACCAAGGCCAGGTAGCCTCGGGTGTGGCCGCTTTCAAACTCCCTGCACACTTGGACTTAATACGTGTTTTAAAAACAAGAGCGGATCATCCGTCTGCTTGGTAGCCTGCCATCAACTTTTGACTCTGCCTGCACTCTCCTTCCACTCACCCCCTTTCCACGCACCCCTCTTTCCATGTCAATAACAAGCTTTAAATGGCCCCGCACCACATCGTGGGATGGACGGCTATGATTCAGTTTACCAGGCTGCACGGACTGCAGGTTTAGGGATGTTTTGAGGAGCGGCCTGTGCGCGCAGCGCGGAGCGGCTTTTCCCCGCTGGTACACTTCCTAAAGTGGAATTACTAGGTCAAAACACATGCGCATTTTTAAACGTGCCTGTTTTGCCACATTTTGCTAAGTGCCTTCCAGAAAGGCTGTTTGATTCTCATTGTTTTACGCTTTCCCAATGCACTACCACTTGCTCTCTTATGAGTGTTTTGAAGCGAAAAATACTAAGATACATAAATCCGTTCTCACTATTAAGAGTTAAATTCAGAAGAGCGTAGAGCAGAAAGCACAAGCCTCGCTTAGAGCAGTTTTCCAGCTGCTGGTCAAGATGCAGCAGTGGATCATGAAATCAACTCATCAGGCCAAGTGCAGCATTTTTGAAGAACTGAAAGAGAATAAAATCCAATTAAAAATATTTCATTTCACCGAGGGTAACCAGAAACCAAAAAACAAACAAACGAACAACAACAAAAAAGCCACTGTCGTTGTGTTAATTGTGACTCACAGAAACTCCATGCTCCGTAGGATTTTCTTGGCTGTAATCTTAATGGAAGCAGATCACCAGGCCTTTCTTCCGACGTGCTGCTGGGAGGGTTTGAGCTGAGAACTTTCAAGTTTGTAGTACAGCACAAACCTTTTGCACCACGCAGGGACCTTCAGTTACATATGTGTGTGGATCGGCTGGCCGTTGTGAAACATATTCCTCCTGAGGGATCAGAAATGTTTGGAAATTGAAAGAAGCCACCTGAGTGTCCCCATTTCTCCCCTCGTCCGAGAGATAGCTCTGTTAACTGTTGAGTGGATTTTCTTTCAGATTCTAGTTCCCATACTGGCAAACATACATGAGCACATTCACAGATGTATTTCCTATAAGGGAGGTCATGCTGCACACAGCAGCCCACACATACACACTTTACACATGCTGTTCCCTGTCCCAGCACACTTTTCCCATCAGCCCATCTGGGCTGAGCAAGTCTGCACTCCATGCTGACTTGTGCCAGGTACAGGCTGACGTCTGCAGTGCTCCCATGAGGAGGTACTTGTCTCTGCCCTCAAGCGATGCTCTGATCTGTGGGGAGAAGAGGGGTGATGCAGCCGTTATTCTTACTGTTACCATCATCACCATTGGTATTATTTTTGAGGGCCAGTGTGTGCTGGATTCCCTGGGTGGTGCAAACAGTTAACAGAATCAGCTGCCAACCAAAAGGTTGGAGGTTCAAGTCCACCCAGAAGTGCCTTGGAAGAAACGCTTGACCATCTACTTGCAAAAAAATTGGCCATTTTAGATCCTATGGAGCATAGTTCTATTCTGACATACATGGGGTCTCCATGAATTGGAATCAACTCCATGGTAACTGGAATGTGGGCTTATCACAAGGAGGAATCAGTTTAGCATTGAGCGGGGTGGTGGGGGAGGGTGAGTATTAGAAGAGATCACAGAGAAGGTGTTATTTCACTCCTGTTATGGATTGAATTGTGTCTCCCCCCAAAAAAATACATTGAAGTCCTAACCCCTGGACCTGTAAATACCACCCTGTTTGGGAATAAGTTTTTTCTTTGATTACGTTATTGAGGTCATATCAGAGTAGGGCAGGTGTCCTAAACCTAATCATTTCTGAGTTACAAAAGGAGCAGAATAGATGCCAAGACACACACAAGGGGAAGAGGAAGACAGATGATGGAGACAGACGCATGTGCAAGCCAAGAAGACAAGGATTGCTGGTAGCTGCTAAAAGCTGGAGGGAGCAGCTGTGGTTCTCTGGTAGAATTTTCGTCTTCCATGCAGAGACCCGGGTTCAATTGCTGGCCGGTGTACCTCATGCGAAGCCACCACCCGTCTGTCAGTGGAAGCTTGAATGTTACGATGATGTTGAACAGGTTGCAGAGGAACGTCCAGACCAAGAAGACTAGGAAGAA